GCACCTGGGGGCGGTACAAAGGCCAAGGTCACACACAGATCTTTGTAAACTGATTTAAAGTGCGCCATGCCGGAAATGGAGGAGGAGCTCACGAATTTCAGGTGCTGCCCGAGCTCTCCTGCCCCCCCACCCCCCCACCCCCCGCTCCCAATGTCAGTGCTGCACATTCGTTTAGCTGTATACAGGATCTCAGTCCCTTATTTATAGAATCATCCATAGCAGGATTTTCCACCTTTTTCTCCTGATGGCACACATAAGCTAATTACTAAAATTCTGCAGCACACCAAAACTATGACTAAAATAAGTATAATTTTGATTCATTCACACTGGATGGCTGTTGTCATTTGTTTAGACAGTCGAAGGAAAAATAGGTCAGTGCCCCTGACTCTTAGGATGGCATGTTTTAAGAAATCTTGTGACCCACCAGGGTGCCGTGGCACACCCGTTGAAAATCGCTGCTCTGTAGGATCTGGAGGGTCAGGTGATGGAGGAAACAATATGCTTTGGTGATATGCACAGATACGGAGATTGACAAGGTTTGGGGTTGGAATCATTTTCCATCGTTCATTTGACAAAAACCATGATGCCACGTGCCCGTAAGCAAGATGAGCGTGGCCTCCTGAATCACTGTCAGGCCTGTGGGCTTAAATGGCCGCACGAGAACAAGACCTCTCCACCTTCACTGCCCACTGCGCTTCCCTCGTCCCTCGCTCCAGCCCCCCGCCACTCCGCACTCTTCACTGAGCCCACCTCTGCCCACCTCAGGGCTGTGGCACCTTCTGTGCCCGTGGCCTGGAACAGCCTCTCCGGAGGGGTGTTCTCAGGTTTACTGCCTCAAGGTCTCTGCTCAGATGTCACCTTCCTGACTGAGTGTCTCCTTCCCCTCCGCATCCTTCCCTCCTGGCTTCTCTCGCCCTCACCTGCTTTGTCTCTTTCCCCAGCACTCACCACCTGCTGGCATGTCCTGTGTGCACCTGCCTGACTGTGTCTGTCTCCGCCCCATGATTATGAGTGTGAAGACAGTGTGTGCCTGTTGCACCCGCCTCTGTAGCCCTGAGCCCAGAGCAGCGTGGCATCCCACAGCGTGGTCAGGTCTAGAGCCCGTGTCCTGCTGCCTTCGCGCTGCTGGGAGGGGGTTCTGCTCAGCTCCCCTTGGGCGTCGTGTGTTTGCAGTGCAGGGGTCAGCCCTGCTCTGCTGTAGCTCGAGACCAAGTCCGTTAGTGTCCCTCACTCCTTCCTCCTGGCCTCCCAGCTCCTTCAGGCGCCGGGTCTCCTTCTGCCCCGAGGGAGGAAGACCGCAGCGTAGCCCTCGGCACCCTATTACCCGCCGTGTTTCAGTCACTGAGGATCCGCCTCCTGCAGCTTGTTAAACCGTGTGCCTTGTAGCTCTTACCATCCCTGCCCTGTTTCTTTACCTTCTCATCCCTCTAGTGCAGAGCAGGCCAAGGAGCTGGTAAGAAGGGCAAGCAGGGAAAGTGAACGCAGCCTTGGCCGGGTGAGCAGAATCCCCGGGTCACCTTGCAAGCAGCTCATTACTTTTCTGTCCCCAGGAGCAGCACTGGGCAATGACAGAGTCCATCAAAGTCAGAAAATGGCCCATTGCTGCTTACCACGCAGGCCAGCCAGCCATGGGCACTCGAGGGTTCCTGTGGGTGCCCTTGACCCCCCGCCTCTGCCCCCTGGGGAAGCAGCTTGGACTGTACTAGACCAGCCCCTGGGTTCTGTTGATCATGCTTCTTAAAACTGGAGTATGTTATGAACAAATAAAACTAAGGGGGCTTCACAAAAATTTCATATTTGAGCTTTTCCTGAAAAAATAAAGTGGCAATACTAGGAGCACAGGCCAATATGGCAGAGCTGGGCGTTGGCTCCTTATTGAGGGGGGCCCAGCCCCACGTTCAGTCTTACTCGGCGTGCCTGCCTCTGGGGCCTGGGCGTTGGCATCCACAGCCCCTCTCCTGGGTGCCTGGGAGAAATTGGTAGTGCCCCATTTTAGTTTGGCTTTTCCATAAAAACCTATAGTCCCAGCGCCCGGCTGTACTGGAAGTCCCCCGTGGAGCTGCCATGCCCCCTCCCTCCCCTGCCAGGGCCACTCTTATGCTGCTACTTGAACTCTCATCAGACACAGCGTTCTAGCAGTGCATAGCGGAGGTCAGGTGGTCCAAGAGGAATCTCTAGTCATCAGCAGTGATGGTTTCCCGAGGTCATGAGGCTGGAAGGATGCTGTTTTCCAACAAGCCTTACACCAGGTCATATATATATATATATATATATATATATATATATATATATATATGACCCCCGCTGTGCCCACTCAACAGCTCCACTTTGATGCCAACACATCCGGGACCCAGCCTGTCCAAACCTGAGCCCCGCTCCTTTCTAAAACTTGCTCCCCAGCCCTCCCCAGCTCAACTGAACGCAAGTCCATTGTCAATTTCCTCAGGCCCAAAGCCAGTCACCTTTAGTCCCCTCTCCCCCAGCCGCACCGACGCTGTCGGGAAAGCCTGCTGGCTCTGTCTTCGGGGATGTGCAGAAGCTGTGCTCCGTAGCCCTCCGCCTCTGCTTCCATGCCTCTCTGCACAGCTGCGCTGGCCGCTGACCGCCTCTCTGAGCTCACCCTCACCTCCCTCCAGTCTGTTCTCCACCTGCGTCAGCTCAGGTCGTCCCCTGCTCCAAATCCTCCCGTGGTTTCCCACTGCACTCAGAGGAATGGCCTTACCGTGTCCTCCAAGGCCCTGTGTGACCTGGCCTTCCCTCTGCGCCAGCCCGAGGTGCCTTGCTGCCCCACGGACACACCACAGGCCTCTCGCTCTGCCTGGTGCCTGGGCCATGCTTCCCTGGTGCTCCCTGACGCCCACCCTCCACCCCGCAACCCCATCTCCTTTACCCTGCTCTGCTTGTCATGTTTTTCCATGTCATTTTCTGCTATCACCCTGTACTATTTATCTTTCTCTAGCGATTGTGTCTCTCCCCAAGGGTGGGGGGTCTTGATCTGTCTGATCACTGCTATGTACCCAGTGCCAAGAACAGACCTGGTAGAGTGGCATTCAATAAACTCAGTAGGTAAAAGCCTCTCTCAAGATCCCAATAGAAATATGTTGAGTTTTGTTTTAAGAAATCATTGAAGGATCTTCTTTTTTTAAAAACTGATTTCTAGAGAGAGAGGAAGGGGGAAAGAGAGAGACATTGACATGAGAGGAAAACATTGATTGGCTGCCTACTGCATGCACACCCCCTACCTGGGATCGAACCCACAACCCAGAATCAACCAACAACCTTTCGGTGCACAGGACGACACTCAACCAACTGAGCCACACCGGCCAGGGCAAGCATTTCTATTTTTAAGTGGAGAGTTTTTTTTAAACATAGAAAGAGTCCAAATATAAACAATTGAGAGGATGTTCTAGTGAGCCACATGTGTCCATTACCAGCTATTTTCATTTCCTCTATTCCCCAGATGATTATGAGGCAAATTCAAGTCATGATATTATGCTGTAGATATTTTAGCATGCTTTTTTTTTACAGCTACATAGTACTCCACCATTAGGTGGATGTACCATAACTTATTTTATTCAACCAGTCTTATTGGATGCTTTTTGCATATCACTTTATACTTTATGAAACCAATTTTCCATTATTGGAACTTCCAAAATCAACTGTACCTTTGCAATACTATTTTTCTTAAATTGAAGAGTAATTTTTTTTGTAATTCTTATTATTCCTGCAAAACAAAATAAAGCAAAATATTTCAAATATTCATCCTTTTGCCCTGGGCAAAGTGGTCATTGTTGGAGCATTGCCCATTTCCACCAAAAAGGTTGTGGGTTCGATTCCTTGTTCAGGGCACATCCTAGGTATGCAATTTCAATTCCCAGTCCAGAGGCATGAGGAGAGCCACCCAATCCAGTGTTTCTCCTCTCATATAGATGTTTCTTCTCTCTTTCTCCCTCCCTCCCTCCCTTCCTTTCTCTCTAAAAAATCAATAAACATATCCTCTGGTGAAGATTAACAAATAAATAAATATTCATCCTTTTCCATGATATTATGTATTATTCCTTATAGATACTTTGTTAGAGGGTTAATTTTTAATAACTTTCTATTTTGATATAATGTCACACTTAATGGATGTTGCAAGGATAGTACAAATGACCTCCCATAAACCCCTCTTCCAGGCTCACCAGTTGTTAACATTTGGTTCCAATTGCTTTATAATTGCTGTGTATGTATGTGTGTGTTTTTGTTTTAATCATTTGAGATTTAAAAAAATACATCATTCCCTTTTACCCCTGAATACTGCAGTATGCAGAGTTGCCCTTCTGTATCTGGGCGGGGGGGGGGGGGGTTGGTTCCAGGACCCCTGTGGAAACCAAAATCCGATGCTCAAATCCCTTATATAAAATGGGGTAAATATTTGCATATAACCTATGCACATCCTCCTGTAGACATTAAATGATGTCTAGATTATTTATGATACCTAACACATTGTAAGTGCTATGTAAATAGTTATTATTCTTATTGTTCAGGGAATAACAACAAGGAAAAAAGCCTGAGCATGTTCAGTACAGAAGCAACTATCACAGGCCTAACTAAACAGTACACATTTGAATCTGCGAATGTGAAGCCTGCAGATACGGAGGGCTGGCTGTTTCTCCTGAGAACAAGGGCGTTCATTTTATGTTACCACGGTACACTTAAGTTATGAAATTTAGGCTGATTTAGCATTAAGATCATACTGTTACCTAAGCCACAGACTAGGTTTGGATTCCTCCCCTTGCTGCAACGATGCTCTTACAGCTAGTTCCCCCAGTCCGGCCCCAGGCCGGCTACTGCCTTCAGTGGCATGCCTGCCGGTCTCCTTTAATGTGGCAGTCTCCAGGCTGTCTGTGTCTTTCATGACCTTGACATTTGTTTCATAGATTGTTCTCAACTTGAGTCTGATCGTTTTTAAGCTGCACTCTGAGAATGAATCAAGGGAGACCCCCTGTTTTTGCCCCCAGGACCTGGAAGCCGACGGGAGAGACTCCCATCAGCAGCCCGAAAACCTGTGCTCCAGGCTGAGGACCCGCAGGAAGACGCATCAGCTGTGCTCCGAGCCATCCAGGTGGAGAATGAAGCCCTGCAGAGGGCGATCCTGAGCAGAAGGGCCGAGCCCGCCACCAGCCAGCTGCAGGTGCCAGTGTGTTCCCTGGCAGGGGGAGGGGACCTAGGAGGACTCTGCTGCTCGGGGGGTGGGGGGGGGGCACGTGTCGGAGCAGCGCTGGCACAGAGCACATGGTGAGGAGAGTGATGTGTGGGCATCTCTGACCTCACACTGACCTGCACATTCATTGCTCACTGCATCGTCCCTCACCGCCTGCCAGAGGTCCCATTTCCTCCACCTTCCCATTTTCCGTTTCCTGCAGAAAGCCCAAGGTGGATGCCAATATGCCTCTCATCCTTGCCGATTTCCCTGCAAACCTGACACCTTAGACTAGGGTTGCAAACTGTAGTTAAGAGAAAGGATGGAGTAAACGGCAAGCCCTGGCTTCTCTGGAAAGATGTCACTCCCAGAGCATGAGCCCGACAGGCCTCTGGGCCTCCCCACCCCTGCTGTCCTGCCCCAGCCTGCTTCACCTGCTCAGAAAGCCTCCGTGGCCCTGCAGTGTTGGAGTTTGTGCCTGCTGCCCTGGGCTTTGAGCAATAAGCAGGAGAACGGTGGGGTGAGCAGGGCCCCTTGGGAGCCGGAGGCCCTGACGTGCTTCGGTGTACACATCCTTTCTCAGAAGCGCGCTCTCTGACTCGGCTGCTGAGACCTTTGACCTTAGCTTGTTCCACAGATGCTCACAGAAACCTTGAAACAGGCAGCACTGTTTCATTACCCTATCTACAGAGGTGCCGATGGCACCCAGGGAAGCCAGGTGGCTTACCCAGGCCGTGTCTTTGGAAGGGGCCCAGGTCTGCCTGCCTGCAAGCCTGGAGCCCGTCCACACCATCCATTGCTTCGCAGTCTCCACCATGGCCTGTTCTTTGGGACATTCATCGAGCGGCACCTGTTGTCTGTTTTCCTGGAGCTCAGTCCTTTCCTGGTGTCTGTGTAGGAGATCACAAGACGGCCCCTGCCCCTCTTCACCCACATCTGTCAGTGAAGCGCAGACAGTGGATGGCTTTGTTCTGACCTCAGGTCATGTGATTACATCATTCCAGGGCGTGGAGGAACCCCCAGCAAAACCGTGGACTGGTCTGCTGAAGGCACAGGAGGAGAGCCCGGAGGTCAGTGGAGGCCCGAGAGGAACAGCAAAGCCCATGCCCACAGCACCTGATGCTCCAGAGAGCTTTCCTCATCACCCAGCAGGTCCTCCTGGGCACGGAGCTGTCCTGCCCATTCCACAGATGGGAAGGTCTGGCTGCAGGGGCTCAGCCAGGCCTGCTGACTCCAGTTTCTTATTACATTTCTTTTTAAAAATATATATATTTTAATGATTTTTTACAGAGAAGAAGGGAGAGGGATAGAGAGTTAGAAACATCGATGAGAGAGAAACATCGATCAGCTGCCTCCTGCACACTCCCCACAGGGGATGTGCCCGCAACCCAGGTACATGCTCTTGCCTGGAATCGAACCTGTGGCCCTTCAGTCCGCAGGCTGACGCTCTATCCACTGAGCCAAACCAGCCAGGGCTCTTATTACATTTCTATTTCCTGACAAGACAACACCAAAAACAGATCTTGGCGTTCTGAGTAAATAAATTATAGCCCTATCTACCCAGGTCAATTAGACCTATCTCGGCAAATACAGGCGGGAATTAATAAAATGCCCGGGAATGTCTTTTAGGTTGTGCTCCAGTCTGTGCTGTGTGCTCAGCATACAGATCAGATTAGCCCCTGGCCTTGCGAAGCTTTCAGGCTACAAGCAAATGAAGCCATAAATAAACAGGTGACTTCAGGGAGATGACAAAAGCTGACTGGGTACGGGATGGTGGCTCCCTCCGGCAGGTGGTCCGAGGAGGCCCCTTGGAGGATGTCCCATGTGAGCCGAGCCCTGTGTGTGAGGAAGGAGCCAGCCAGCAACAGGAAACAGCATCTCAAGTAGGAGGAACAGGGAGCAGCTTTGAAGTGAGAATGAGTTGGCAGATCAGGAAGAAGTCTGGTTTTGGGGGGAGGTGGGGGGTAGGAGAGGAGACAGCATCCAAGGCAGCACCGAGAGCACTGTGGAGGTTTCTCTTTGTATCCCTCTCACTTGTTCTGCTGTTTCCTGGTCATCTTAAACTGTCCCTGGCTGATGTCTGGACAGGTCTGCAACACTGCCCACCCACCCTGTGCTCCAAGGTTTCCGGGTGACCTGACCCCTGACCCACAGGGCCTCCAGTGACTGGAAGCATTTGCAGATAGAGAGCAGAGCACATCTCAGTTTAGATGATATATGACAAATGGGGAAAGGCGAAAGGGCCTAATGATGTTACTAGAATTCTCCATGGAGTCCCATTACGTTGTCGCAGATAGAACAGAGGTTGAGATGGGGAAAGGTGTTGACGAAATTTATTTTTAACTTATTGATTTTAGAGAGAGAGAAACATCAATTTGTTGTTCCACGTATGTATGCATTCATTGGTTGATTCTTGTATGTGCCCTGACTGGGAATCACACCCACAACCTTGGCGTGTGGGGCAGTGCTCTAACCAACTGAGCTACCTGGCCAGGATCTAATTTATTTTTAAGGTTCTTTGGAACTTAGGGCGGAGAGAAAGAGAGGGCCAAAGAGGAAAGGTACGCACCTTGAGGGAAGAAGAGGGGGAAAGGCACGGGCCTGAGAGAGAGAGAGCACACGAGAGAGAAATTTTTCAATAGCTCATTGAAGCAGATCCTTTCCTGAGACTTCCCAGATCATAAGAAACTGACATCCCTGTCTTTTTGCAAAGCTCATGGGAGGGGGTGCTTGATCTCATCAGCCTGGGCAGACGCTGTCACTCTCCCTCCTGTCCCCTGCTTTCTGCAACGGGACTGGAGGCCTGAGAAGTATGTCCCTTTGACCATGGCTCTGCTGTATCTTGGGCCAGGAGTGTCACCTCAGACATCTGTTTAATAAGCCTTTCCATCCTCAGCTGCTTCCCGTCACCATGGAGACCAACACGGAGGAGCCATCCCAGGCGGCAGGGGGAGCCAGAGCCGTCAGCGCAGCCATTGACAGGATCGGCCTTTTGGGGAGCAGGTACTTACCACGAGGACTTCAAAACCAAAACAAGAAGCCAATGGCAGTGCAGCTGGGAGGGCCCAGGTTACTCCAGACCATTTAAAACTGCTCCTTTAGACTGTACCCGCCCTCACCCCCACTCTAGCCCTAAACGCAAAAGTGACGACTTCTTTCAGGCAAATATCTCATTGCTTGTTCAGTTCAGTCCAAGCTGGGTAACAGTCCACCCTCCTCAAAGGTTCCCACGGGAGGCCCCCCACAGGGGGCGGTGCTGAGTTTGTTCCCAGATGGCCTGTGGTGGGGCGGGGGCTGGCGGTCCAAAGCGGCACCCTTCTTTTCTCTGTTAACGTTTGTTCTGATGCAGTCTTCTGCTCCATTAACATGCAGCATCGGTTATTGGAACCGTCAAGTTTCATTATCAGAATAAAGGCTTTCCTCTAGTTTTCAGGCAAAATTGATCTTCTGAAAGCTGCGCCAGGTTGAGCCTATGTTTACAAGCACGCACTGGCCCACAGCCATGCCCGGGCACCGTGCGGAGCCTGCTCACTGTGGCTGTGCCCGTGCCCGTGCCGGCTGCGGGGAGGGGTATGCAGCCTTACACAGCACACGTGGGGGCGTTTACTTCAGCACTGCTAGGTCTGGAACCCGGGGCCTCAGAAACCCGAGGTGCAGAGTGGACTCTAGGCCAGGGGTTGGCAAACTTTTTTGGTAAAAGGCCAAGTAGCCAATAATTTAGGCTTTTCACCTTTTGTGTGTTTGTTCTAACCACCCTTTAAAAATGTAAAAGCCGCCCTACCTGATTTGTCTCAGTGGATAGAGTATCGGCCTGCGGACTGAAGGGTCCCAGGTTCGATTCCGGCCAAGGGCACATGCCTGGGTTGTGGGCTCGATCCCTAGTAGGGGGCGTGCAGGAGGCAGCCAATCAATGATTCTTTCTCATCATTGATGTTTCTATCTCTCTATCCTTCTCCCTTCCTCTCTGAAATCAATAAAAATATATTTTTTAAAAAAATGTAAAAACCATTCTTAGCTTGCAGGCCATCTAGAAACAGGCCACAGGCTGCATCTGAGCTCCAGGCTGTCCTTTGTGGACCCCTGTTACAGATTTTTGTTGTTGTTGTTAATCCTCACCTGAGGACATTTTTTCCCATTGATTTTTATTTTTTATTTTTTTTAAATTTCTTTATTGGTTAAGGTATTACAAATGTGTCCTCATCTCCCCATTAACCCCCAGCCTCCCCCCTGCCCCCGCACTCATACTCTCATCCCCCTGTTGTCCGTGTCCATTGGTTTGGCTTGTATGCATGCATACAAGTCCTTTGGTTGATCCCTTCCCCTTACCCCCACCCTCCCCTACTTTCCCTCTGGGGATTGATACTACGCTGCGGTAAAAAAGAAGGAATTCTTGCCATTTGCAACAGCATGGATGGAACTGGAGAGCATTATGCTAAGTGAAATAAGCCAGTCAGAGAAAGATAAATACCACATGATCTCACTCATTTGTGGAATATAGAGAACAACATAGACTGATGAACAGGGACAGACCCAAAGACAGAGAAACAGCGATCAGACTATCCATTGATTTTTAGAGAGAGTGGAAGGGAAGAAGTGGGGAGGGGGGAAAAGAGAGAGGAAGAAAGAAACATCGATGTAAGAGAGACGCATTGATTGGTTACCTCCCACCTGCGCTCTGACCAGGGCCAGGGATTGAACTGCAACACAGGTCTGTGCCCTTTACTGAGATTGAACCCAGGAGGACCCTTTGGTGTGTAGGCTGGCGCTCTAACCACTGAGCACACTGGACAGGGCCTATTGTAGACTCTTACCAGTTACTAGTAAGCTTCAGCTGGCCATCTTGCCCCACGCGGTTTCTTTTATTTAACTGGTCTCATCACTGCTTTTACGGTTATTTATAGAGGAAAACATCCCGTGTGCAGCTTTGAACTGTATGTGGGGTGAATATAGTCGACCGTTGAACAACGCGGGTGTGAACTGTGTGGGTTCACTTATCCGTGGGTTTTTTCCATAAATATACAGTTGGTTCTCCATACCCCGGGTTTTGCATCATGCATTCACCAACTGCAGATGGAAAGCTGTGTTTGTGATCCAGGCTGGGAGTGCGCGGGTGCAGGGCCGAGTGCGCACACTGTTCCACACCATTTTATATAGGGGACCTGAGCACCATGGGGTGTGCCATCTGCAGGGATCCTGGAACCAGTCCCACACCGATACTGAGGGATTGTTGTCCAGTTTGGGGGGAGTCAAGAGTTATATGCAGATTTCCAGCTGCATGTGTTGGGGGGTTGGTGCCCCTAACCCCTGCGTTGTTCAAGGGTCAACTGTACCTTCTCCTCACATTGTCCCACGTCTCTGAGGTAGAACAGAAGTGGGGCTTTGGTGGGAATGTCCTCTGTGTGTAGCATGTGTTACCTGATTGCTAAAACAAGTCCCATTTCAGGCAGCAGCAGAAGCTTCTGGAAGTCCTCCGGGCCATCGAAAGCGACTCTGCCCATGTCAGCCGGGTGGGTTCACCAGCTGAGGAGCAGGTGCTGGCCCCAGAGGTGAGAACGGACCTGCAGGGATGTTAGGGCCTTCACTGCCTCTCCTGGAGCTGAGGCTGGCAGGGCCCGTGGGCGATCATTTCTGTTCCGTGGGATTGTTCTGATGGCGACCACCTCGGCGTCTTTCTGCCGTGTGCATGTCCCCTCCTCCCCGGCACACAGACAAAGGTGTGCGGAGCAAGGCCTTGCAGCCTCTCCACACAGAGGAAATATAATAGCATGTGAACCCCAAGGAAAAGGTCCAGCATCGCTGGTAACCAAGAAATGCAAATCAGAGCAGCCTGCATGTCCCATTGGACATCCGAGTGAGTGAATGACTTTGATGGTAACCTCTGGTGCTGGCAAGGTTACAGAGGCCGGTCGGCCTGCCCTGCTGGCAGCAGCGGAGACGGTGGGACACTCTGGGAAAGCAGACGGGCTGGACTTAGGAAGAGCCTTAGAAATGCTTGTCTCCCAGCCCAGTGATCCCCCTTCCTTACCCCAGGAAGTCACTCAGCAGCAATAAAAAGCTAGAGGCACAAATGTGTCTGCTGCCGAGTTATTGGAAGTAGAGAAAAATGAGGAAAAAACCCAAAAATAACATAAATGTGTCTTAATAATGGAGGTAATCAGGAAAGTGTGATATATCGGCATAATGCAGTAGTATAAAGGGATGGAAATCATCATTATGGAGATTACCCAGAGAGAAAATGTTAAGGCTGCAAGGTAACTGCAAGAGGTGACATTAGTCTTCGTCTAGTCCAACGTGGCGGCACAGACACGGAGCGGGACATCTGCTGCTCAGGAGGGGCCCAGGGAGGCAGGGTAATGGGAGTTCTTTCCTTTGTGTCAGTAGGTGAGTGTCCTGGCTCATCCACCTCACCCCTCCCTGTACCCAACCTTCTTATCTGGTTGGTGGTCACCAGTCTTACTTAACACGGAGTCTCCCAAAGTCGCATGCAAGACTCACAACCACAGAAAGCCCTGCACCCTCCCAAACGAGTCTCAGCTGTGCGTCTGGCACCACCTTGTAAGGGGTGTGAGACCAGTGTTGGTCTCAGACCCTCTGGAGCAGCGGTTCTCAACCTGTGGGTCGAGACCCCTTTGGCGGTCGAACGACCCTTTCACAGGGGTCGCCTAAGACCATCCTGCATATCAGATATTTACATTACGATTCATAACAGTAGCAACATTACAGTTATGAAGTAGCAATGAAAATAATTTTATGGTTGGGTTGCAACATGAGGAACTGTATTTAAAGGGTCAGAAGGTTGAGAACCACTGCTCTGGAGGGCCCTAAATCTCGCGATTCAGAGCAGGAGTAGCCGTGGAGTTGCAGCACTGACAAGTCGTGACACTTCCTCAGTTAATAGGCCCTTCAGCTCCTTCATTTGGAAACTCCCTGCGGGAACTTGCGCTGAGATTGCACTGAGTGTGAGATCCAGCCGCCCCTCTGCGAGGCGGCTCGCAGTCCATCTGGCCCTTTTCCCTGCAGCCAACAGCCAGGGTGCACAGTACTATGCCTTCACGCCTCCCACACCACTCACCTGGCAGTGCCTCTCACAAGCACAAGCTTGTTAAACTCCCAGCCCCCACGTCAGCCAGGCCAGCTTAGGTGTATCACCATCCGTCAAGCCTGGACTCGGGCCCAGGGCAGCGAAGGGCTCAGCCGGCCCTGCACGGCACAGGAGCAGGAAGCCGGCACAGGAGGAGGCTGTGGGGTCTGTGGGCCAAGCTAATAAAAACGCCCGTGTTCCTTCTGGGAGCCATGAGCCGACCTCCCTCCCTCCCATCCTCGTCCCTATCGCGTGGCAATCAGGGCTCCTCCAAACACATGCTGAGAGCCAGAGCACATGTCGCTGGCCATTAATTAAAAAAATAAGTAGGGAACATTTGCTGTTCATTTGCTCAGCTCCCTGCTCACAGAACCAGTGCCGATTACCAGCGCTAATTACCAGGGGGCATGTGCATGTGAGGATGCACCACTTTACGAGTGACTGATCCGTGGCCACCAGCACTGCACTCGGCACTCTGGGCGCCCAAGGTGCCTCAGGAGGCCATTCCACAGTGTGGCCATTTACTGGGGTATCCACGCAGCCTCTCAGACCGAATAGCCTGCCCACGAGGGAGGCAGGCAGCAAAACCAATGAAGGAGAGCCCTGGCCAGTGGGTCAGTTGGTTGAGGCATCACCCCACACACCAAAAGGTTATGGGTTCATTTTCCTGTCAGGGCACATACCTAGGTTGGGGCTCAATGATCGGGGTGTGTATAGGAGGCAACTGATCAGTGTCTCTCACATTGATGTTTCTCTCTCTAAAAATCAATAAACATATCCTCAGGTGAGGATTATCAGTAAATAAAGATGAACTTTGCCTACTTGAAAAAAACAACCAGTGAAGGAGAGAAATGGGGGGATGGACACACAGGGCCGGGACTTGGGACAGGTCTGCTCTGGGGCTCGTATCTCACTTAGTCTTGGTGGCAGGTGGATGGAGTCATCTCCGATTCCTCAGTTAGACTGAGAGATGTCAAGTGGCTGGTCCAGGTCTGTGTTACCTACTGCGTTATTCTGCTGGGCCGGCCCTAACAAATCCCACACTCTGGTGGCTTAAATAAGATTCATTTTCTCATACTTCTGGAGGCTGGAAGGCCACGAGCGAGATGTTGGCAGGTGTGGTTTCCCCTGAGGCCTCTCTCCTCGGCTTGCAGATGGCCACCTTTCCCCCCGTGTCCCCATGGGCGCTTCTCTGTGCACGAGCTTCCCATGTGTCCAAATTTCCTCTGATGAGGACATTGGTCAGAATGCATTCCCACTCTAATGGCCTCATTTTAACTTAATTACTTTTTAAAGACCCTATCTCCAAATACAGTTATACTTTGAGCTGCTGGGGTTAGGGCTTCAGCATGAATGTGGGGGGACCTGCCCAATTCAGCAGCAGTTGTGATATGCCTATGTCGTGGGGAAGAGGCAGGCGTGATGTTCAGACAGAATATGCTGCCTTTTTTTTTATGTTACAAGGAATTATATTCTTAGATTAGCATAAATCCAAAAGTTTCTTTACAAACCAGAATAGGATAAAATTAATAGAAATAAAAAATTAATTGTAAGTCTCCCCCCCCCCCCCCCCCCGCCAAATATGCTGCCTTTTAAGCAGGAAACACTGGGTGCCCACGTACACAGTAGCTGTGATTCAGTCTTCACAAATATGTGCTTGTTTAATCTTCACGGTGACATAGGTGCATAGTAACTGTAGGTACAGGGTGCTGCTCTTACCCTCAGGCACGGAGGGAGGGTGGATGGCCTGTGGCTCGGTGGTGGGGCTGGAGTCGGCCTGCCATGCTTCATCTTTGGCACCATGTTTCTCTCCTTTAAGGACAAGCTGGGGGTGAAAGAAGAGATGAAAGATGCCATCTACGTGACGATGGAAATCCTGTCCAACTGGGGCAACCTGTCGTGGGTGGGCCTCACCGAAGTCGAGTTCTTTGACCTGGACGACACAAAGCTGTACGTGTCACCTCATGACGTGGATATCCGTAACTCGGACCCGCCGGGGGACCTGGGCCAGCTGGTCAACAGGAACTTGGCTGTAAGTGGAGGCGGCACTGCAGCGAGGCTTGGCCTTGCATTGGGATGCATCTTCTCTGCCCATGACGTGTCCTCGCTAAAGGTGGGGTGTGAGCAGGGGACAATGCAGTCTCCCCTGTTGCTCATTGGGCCACGTGGGAAGGAGCTGTGGCAAAGGTTGGGGGGCTCCATACTGTCCCCCAAACTCTTCCCAGATCTCTGCTCTGCGGGGTTTTCTTGGGAGAGGGGACGAGGAGCCAGTTCAGCCCTTTTCTCCATCTTGCAGTTTAAGACAGTCACCACCAAACACGGGACCTCAGAGGTTATTGAGGTCAACGGGGCTGTTTTGTGGGTAAATAAACTAAGGCTTTGAGCGGGCTTTGACTTTGCCGAGGTCACACAGCTGGAAGGTGGGGGGGCTGAGTGCACATCCTGCAGCCAGCCTGGTGCAGGGCCCAGGCCCACCCCCTCACCGTCCTGCTTCCCTAGAGCGTGGAGTTCATGCACCCAACAAACGGGAACATTCCTTGTCTTTAAATATCTAACAGGTTTAAAAAAAACATCACTGGCATTTTCTCCTCCTGCCACTGCAAGTGGGCACGAGGCTGTGAGCTAACCTGGGACAGGATGCCCGGCAGCGCCGTCTTGGCCGTGCTCTGCCTCCCATCCATCCCTGGGAGGGGCTGGAGATTGGGAACAGAGGTGCCTCTGGGCCACAAAACGGGTGAGCGAGGGACAGGAGCCATGGGAAGACTTCCCCTTGGGTGCTCTTTTGCACTTTTTAAATGTCCTCCCACGTACATGTAAGAAAGTATGGAAACTGAGAGCAGCCACCACGTGCTTAGTGCTTGCTGTGCCAGGCATGGCCATGCGATCTGATTTAGACCTAAGAGTGCACGGGCTCGAGGAGCGGAGAGGCCGGGCTCCCCAGCTCACCACTTCAGCTTCGTGACCCCAGGCAGCTCACCTCACCTCTACTTCCGTCTCCTCATCTGTAAAATGGGGATGATAAGAATACCTACCTTGACACAATGTTGTAAGGTTCAAATGTGAATATTCGGAGCTTAGTACCAGGTCTGGATCTTCCTAAGGCTCCAAAAATCAGCTGTCAGTGTTTGCACTGTTATTATTATTAACAGTATGAATACCACTAAGAAGTGGGTATTACTATTCCCATTTTAAAGGAAACAAGAAGGAGGCTTTGAAATCCCCAATTCTGGAGTTCCGGGTGTGGCCTTGGCACCTTCTCCAAGTTTGTTTCTCTGCCCCTGTAAAATGAGAGGGAGGGCGTAGATGGATTCCTAATTTTGATTCCTAATTTCTAGTAACAGAAACTGAGTCTGGCTCATTTTAGCAAATTCTTGAAAGAACAGTTTATTGTCTGAATTGTGAGTAGCTGGTGTGCTCACTGCCCCCAGGCCAGGAGAGGACAGGCCATGGTCATGGCGGCTCCAGGCAGCGTTCTGGATGCATGTGCACCGAGGGTTTGCTTGGTCGTCTTTGGGGGGAGACGGGCAGTGTTTTATTGGTTGGTTAATTGGACAGTTGGTTTGTTATCACTCTGCCTGAGGAATCCAGTCCAGGAGAGGAAGGCTGGTGGACCAACGTGGCTAGGAGGCCGGCCACCTTGATGCCAATGCAACCAAGATGCCCCAGGGGAGGAGGAACCCTCCCTGAAGAAGCTCAGGGTTGTTACTGAAAGAAAGGCAGGACAGATGCTGGAGGGCCGAGAGGCCCCAACCTCCACAGGTGGGACCGTGGTGTCTGCGCCCTCCTGGAGAGCAGCAGCTCTGTGACCGTGAACCTCGAAAGAAGCAGGCCCCCTCGGTCACAGCCACGTGGGTGCCCTGGCCTCGCACGCCCTGCTCTGCTTGCTGCTTCGAGTCCCCAGGCTCCCATGTGTGCAAGCCCCAGCCCTTGCCACCTCTCCAAACCCTCTTTGCCCAAAGCAGTGGCATTTGGGAAGCTGCTGTGCGAAGCAGAGCATACCAGGGCCTATAAAAAGCATCACTGAGTTTGGCGGGGACCGATTCTGACGATTGCTCTCCCTTCTCCTCCGTTTAGCAGAGGCTGATGAGCTTTGCTGTGTGAGAGCAGTGAGAACTCCAGCCGTGGTTTTTGTGGGTTTGGGTTGTTTTCTTTTGGGCCTAAGGTTGGGACATAGGCAGCTGTCTTGCCCTGGCTGTTGGATCTCTGGGTCCAGCTGTGGGTGGGCTGGGTTCCCCGCTGCACTGGCCTGAGGTCTCCCTGATGTCGTCCCGTGTGCCAGGCCCAGGGCTACCGAACACACTGCCTCTTAGATTCCCTGTGGGTTGAATCTAACGACCCACAGTATGCCAGCCAGACACCCCTCATCTAATCCTCCCATGGACCCTGGGTCACTCTCCACATCTGCTAAAGGGGGAAAGCAAGTCTCAGGGAAGATGGGTGACTGGCTCAGGCCGCACCGCTGTGAGTGGTGGGGCCGCTGAGAGCCGGACAGAGGTAACGGAGTGAGGGCTGAGTTCAGAAGAGAAGCTGCTTGAAGAGTGAGTTGCCGGAAGATGACTTTACTGGTGAATTCTACTAACTAAAGAATTAACACTAGTTCTTTACATTTCCTTCTAAAATGTGGAAGAGGAAGGAACACTTCCCAACTCATTCAATGAGACCAGTATTACCCTGATACCATAACCAAAGATTTCACAAGAAAACTACAGGCCAACATCTCTTATGAATATAGATGTAAAATCTTCAACAAAACACTAGCAAGTTGAATCTGGCAGCTTAAAAAAATATTTATACATCAAGACCTCGTGGAGTTTATCCCAGGAGCACAAGGTTTGTTCAACATATGAAAATCAATCAATAGACCGCATTAATAGACTAAAGGGGAAAATAACCACATTACATCTTAATAGACACAGAAAAGGCATTTGACAATGAACATCCTTTCATGATAAGAACAATCAGCAAGGCCGGGGAACTGTTCCTGGACCAAGCCAAAGGCACAACACGTCCTCTGACACCTTCTTAGACAAGTTGAAGATTGGCACTGGCCTCAGTGTACATCCCTATGAGGAGAGGATCAGTACCGTCCCTGTAAGATTGTCATGCAGATTAAACATCACGCGATTAAATGAGTTTGTCATAGAAAGTGCTTAGGAACACTGCCTGGTGCCTGGGAAGCATTCAGTGAATGACAGTTATTATTTGGTTACTATCGTTGCTGCTGTTGTTACTGCCTCAAACAATGAAAAGACAATTAGCCATGAGAAAGTATTTCTGAGCCGGTGTTTAAGTTCTGGATGAGTGTGCGGCCAATGCTGATGTAAAGTGGTAGAGAAGGAAAGATGGAGAGAAAAGACACTCAAAACCTGCCAAGGCTATACCTTACTTTGACCTACCTTGGCAGGTTTTGAGAATGAGGTTGGAAACATGTCAACTTAGGGAAGGAGGCATGTACATCGTTTGTGGTGGTATCTTTTTGATAAGACAAAGCTGGGCCAATCACATTCCATTCCTTCACCATTCACTCTGAATTTGCCAAGAAAATCATTTGTAAATTCTAAAAAAAAGAACAATCAGCAAACCAGGGACAGAAGGAAACATCCTTATCCTGGCAGAGGGCATCTATGAACACCCACAGCGAACATCACACTTAATGTGAAAGACTGAACGCGTCCCCCAGATCAGGAACAAGACCAGGATGCTTTCTCATCACCTCCATTCAACGCTGTCCTGGAGAATCCACCTGGGGCAGTTAAATAAGAAAATAAAGTAAAAGTTGGAAAGGAAGAAGTAAAACCACATTTGCAGGTGATGTGGTCTTATATATAGAAAATCCTAAAGAATCTACAAAAATTACTGGTAAAGCTAAAATTAAGTTCAGCAAGTTTACAGGATAAAAGATGAATATACAAAAATCAGTTGTATTTCTATACACTAGCAATGAACAATCTGAAAAGGAAATTAAGAAAACAATTGTATTTTTATAGTATAAAAAAGCATAAAATATTTTAAGAATAAATTTCACCAAAGAAATGCACAACTTCTACACTGAAAAGTACAAAATAGTAACAACAGAAATTGAAGACCTAAATAAATGAAAGGACACCAGTATTCATGGATTGGAAGAACTAATGGTGTTAAAATGGCAATGGTTTCCAAATTTTCTACAGATTCAATGCAGTTCTATCAAAGTTCCAGTTGTCTTTTTTGTGGAAATTGGCAAGCTGATCCTAAAATACATATGGAAATTTGAGGGACCTACGATAACCAAAACAACATGGGAAAAGAAGAAGAAATTTGGAGGACTTGCACTTTCCAATTTCAAAACTAACTACCACGTTACAGTGATCAAGATTGTGTGATACTGGCATAAGGATGGGTATAAGTCAATGGCATCGAGAGTCCAGAAATAAACCCATACATCTCTAGTCAATTGATTTTCAACAGGATGCCAAGGCCATTCAATCAGTTAGGAATAATTTTCTCAACAAATGCTATTGGGGCAACTGGATTTCCACTTGCAAAAGAATGAGGTTGGACTCCTACCTCACACCATGTATACAAACTAACTCAGTGAACCAAAGACCTTAAATATAAGAGCTAAAACTATAAAACTCTTAGAAGAAAACACAAGTGTAAATCTTCATAGCCTTGAATTTGTCCATGGAGTCTTAGATATATGACACCCAAAGAACAAGCAACAAAAGAAAAAATAGATAAATCAGACTTCATCAAAATTACAAACATTTTTGTTTCAAAGGATACTAGCAAGAAAGTGAAAAGACAACCTATAAAATTGGGAGAAAGTATCTTCAAATCAAATATCTGATAAAAGTCTAGTATACAGAATATGTAAAGAACTCTTAAACTCAACAAAGAGAAGACAACAACCCAATTAGAGTATAGCCAGAGTACTCTGAATAGACATTTCTCCAAAGAGGATATACAAACGGCCAACAAGCACATGAAAAGATGCTCGGCATCACTAGTCATTAGGGAAATGCAAATCCAAACCACAAAGATACATCACTT